AGAGCAGCGCAAGCCAGGACTGCTAAGTCCTGGCTCCCGCTGCCCTGGGGAGCTAACCCCACTGCAGCTCTGCAGTTTAAATGTAGTAGGAGCTGGGCAGCAGGCGGTGAGTGAGGGGGCTGAGGATGCAGGGTCTTGGTGGAGAGGTGAAAGGCCAGAAGCTGCGCTGGGAGGCTAAGCTTGTGCTCTAGACTCACCCCTTATCCCTCAAAGCAGAGACCCTGTGCCCTCAGCATGGTCGATCACTGCCCTGCTGAGAAGCAGGAAAAGCCTCCAGGAAGCATGTCCCTGCACTGCTGTTCCCCAAGCCGGGGGAGGGGGAAGGGATGTGGTAGCACATGCAGCCACTTCTTCCCCACAAGCCAGATCCAGCCAGGAGCGTTGGGGCTTTCTCCCCCCATCCCCTTGCAGGCAGCCGGCACTTCAGCCTCCCAGAGGGGTGCAGGGTTTGGCAGAGCGAGGGGGCTATGGGGTGGGGAGTCTCGACTTGGCCAGCCAGTGGCAATGGAAACATGGCACGGTATGAGGGGGAGCTGCAGCCAGTGGGGCTGCAGGGGAAGAGGCTGGTAAGCAACTGAACCAGAGAGATAGGGGCACCCATCCCCTTGCAGGCAGCCGGCACTTCAGCCTCCCAGAGGGGTGCAGGGTTTGGCAGAGCGAGGGGGCTATGGGGTGGGGAGTCTCGACTTGGCCAGCCAGTGGCAATGGAAACATGGCACGGTATGAGGGGGAGCTGCAGCCAGTGGGGCTGCAGGGGAAGAGGCTGGTAAGCAACTGAACCAGAGAGATAGGGGCAGGAGCTGGTGGTGCCCTAAGATGACTCCTCCAGCCCTGTGGAGGAGTGATGTAAGGGCCAGAGGAGCGGCCTGGAGTGGCTAGTGAGGCACTTTGTTTAGAGGTGAACACCGGCTTGCAGGACGGGAGGAGGAGGGCGGTGCCAATGCCAATGATGTGAAGTCATTCTGTCATCCGGCAGGAACACTTTTCATGTATATAAACAACTTGCG